TCTTTCCCTGACTGGAGCTACCATCCATTATTGCTCCACTGTTACTCTCCCCTGTGCTGTCCCCTTTGTTTGATCAGAGTTCTCAGCCACACTGCCCACCAGGATATCATTACCAGGGCCTTCTCCTCCCCCTAAGATGTTATCAGGCAATCCTTCTTCTCCCCACCTCTCACCTCTGGAATCTGCCTCTCCAGTCTGCTCCTGCTGCCACTTGCTGTCAGAGCAGACCCCAGCATTCATGGTCACCATCCCAAACACCTCCTGTACCCCTGCCAGCAGTACTGACCTTTGCCTCGTGGCACCGCTGAGACGCATAGCCACTCTGTGAATTTCTCCTGCAGGGCTGTGGGCTGGTCACTGCTATGAGAGATAGGAGCCACTGGAAAGAGAGAGAAAAGGTGGCAGGGTTACCCTTTCCTCCCAGCTCCTCACACAGCATCTCTGGATCCACTCTTGTCCCACGTTTTCCCCACCAAGCATTGTCCCAGCCACCACCTCTCCTGGCCTAAACAAGTGGTGTGTGTGGCTGCCTTCCCTGCCAGAAAGAGACAGTCTTCCAAGTCAGACAGCAGAAGGACCACTCGAAGGGCATCACACTGAGGACATCCCAGACAGGCTGGGATTGATTCCACCCAACCACCACCATTCTGCCATGTACATAACTACAGCCAATCTCCCAGTCTACACCGCTGTACAATCAGTCAATAAATAGCAGCACTTCAGTGTCACAGTTATCACCTCCTACGATAGACATCCACAGTAATTTGGCACACCAGATGGGCCTGTTTCATCAGCAACAGATAGTCCAGGTGAAGGCAACCACATACAGCTAGAGCTACTGAAACCGAGGTGGAGAGTGAACTCCTAGAACTTACTAGCCCCGACTTTATGGGACTGCTACAGTGTTGGTAGTTGGTGTCAGCAGGCACATCCACCACCCAAAGGCCTTATTAGTAACTCAGACACTCAGGAGTCTTGATAGGAAGCTGGTCAGGATGTGCTAAGCAATACAGATGTCTATTTT